TATTGCCTTTATTAGCTCTGCATCGAAACAAAAAAAAATTAATTTTGAAAATTAACCCAAAAATCCCAAAATATCATGTGTTACGACATTTCAAAAATTTTAAAAATAAAAAATAAAAAATAATATTCAAAATAGAGAATTTACATGGTTTTTTCACATTAATTTGCAAAGATGAGAGGAATTGCGCTAATCAACCAAAAGCCAATGACTACAAAAGTGTGCCATATACACTTACAAAAATCCAAATCCCAATTATATCCAAAATCTTTAACTAAATAGAATTAAAGTTACAATATGTCCCAACATATTACACATTGAGATTTTGGTAGTAAGACAATGAGAGAAGGGAAATCTTTCTTTATAGGCTACAAGGGAGGTGTCGCTTGATATATATGACTAATGTCTCAACTTAAAAGCACCTCGTCAAAAAATCTTCACATAAGCTTCGAGTTACATTAACGTTTACAAGAGCTATTGTTAAGAAAAAAGGTATTCTTGCGGGTTGTTTTGCTTTGCTTTATTCCCGTGTTGCTTGCCATGATTGTATTGTTTGACTTGGAGTTAGAGCAACTAAATGTCAAGATAACTTTTGTGCATGCTAGCTAAGTTTGAGAAACAAATCTACATACATAAGCTATAGGGGTTTATAGTTCAAGGTGTCGGGAAGAGAGAAGAAAAAATAAAAACAAAAAAAATACCACTAGATATTAATAATCAAAAGAACATACTAAAAATTTGATATAAGATTTAATATGATTCGACAAATCTCACCTATATGCAAGGGAGAAAATCAAATTCTTTATGATTTGAGATCAATTATAAAACACTTGAGTTATCCTCACTTAAATATAAATTATCTTACATATTATTTCATATAAACCTCAAAGAAAAATCAAGAAGCATCAAAAGTATTTCTCACATCTTGCTTTCCTCACTATAACTAAAAGATACATGAGATATTTATAGAAAAACTAAACCTTAATTAATAGGATTTTCTTTCTTCACGAAAACTCCTTATACTAAGATTCTTTATATACTAGCTCCAAAAAATTTAAAATACTTGTCAATCTTATCACAAAATAAAGAAGACAACATTTGTCCATTGAAAAAAAATTCCTTACATGGCTTGAAACAATAGGCAATGAAACAAATAGTTTTATTCCTTTATTTTTGGGATGGTTACTCCATAAGTCGTTATGATAGTTGCATTTATTACAAGCATCTTTGGGATTGTTCCTTCATTTATTTGTTGCTCTTTCTTGATGATATGCTCATTGCTGCCAATAATCGGGATGACTTCAACAAATTGAAAGCTCAGCTACATTGGTTTGAGTTTGAGATGAAAGATTTGGGTGCTACTTACAAAATCTTGCGCATGGAAATTCAATGGGATAGATGAGGGAACAAATTGGTTTTGTCTCAAAAAAAAAATGTTCAATTGAAAAAGTTCTTCAACACTTTGGTCTGTAAAATTATAAACATTATAAACCATTTGTAGTGTATTTCTAGCTTTCAACATATTTATCACCATAGTACATGTGAGAGAATTTATGTATGCTATGGTATGCACTCGTCCATATATTTCATATATCGTTTCACATTGTTAGCAAATGTATGAGTAACCCTAGCAAGGTTTATTATTCGGCTATGAAATAAATTATTTGTTATTTGCAATGTACTATAAATATGGGTGTAGTCTCTAGTAAGAATTTTAGCACTAGTAATGTTGTTAGTTATGTGGACTCTGATTTTACTGGTGATCTTGATAAAAGGAGATTTTTGACAAGTTATCTATTCACACTCACATTGGAACGCTACTCTACAGCCTATCATCGCTTTGTTTACTATCGACGTAGAGTACATGATAGTGAAGAAAGTAATCTGATTAGAGCTTCAAGTATTTGATCAAAAAATAAATGTACCACGAGAGGACTAATCATATTGATGTTAGATATTATTTTATTTGAGATACTAGATCACATGATGCTATTGCAATGAAAAAAATTGCTACAACCGAGAATTCAATAGATATAATGGCCAAGTAAATTCTAATACATAAGTTTAACCATTGTATAAATGTAATTAGTATCGATAGTGCATGATACGTTAATTGACTTTGGAGAAGATGCTAGAAGAAATTTCTGTTTGAAGACATTTGTATAACTTGAAGCTAAGGTGAAGATTTATTGACGGGTGGCTTAAGTTGAGACTTTAATCTCACATCTGAAGCATAGTTGAACGTCTCTCTTATAGCCTATAAAGATATTTCTTTTCCCATTGTAACTTTGATCCTATTTAGACGAAAAGATTTTGGGGGGTTTGGGTTGTGCAAGTGTTTAGGTATTATTTTAAACTCTTTTGTTTTGTATTGATAAGTGAAAATCATTAATCGGTCTCTATTTCATTAAATTTGAACTAGAAATTGAATTTCTCAATTTTAAATTTTGTCACTAATTCAGAAATTTCACAATCTAGGAAAAATAGATCAATAGAGATAGAGAAAGCAAAGATGAGAAAAACTCCACTAAAAAGCCAAAAGCACCCATAAAATCCAATCCTAATCACACCCAAATTTTTAATTAACTAGAGCAAAAGTTGCAATAGTTTATCACTCAATAAGATTTTTTATACAAGATAATGGAAAATAAAAGAGAGAATTTTAGACGTGGGACTAGAATCTCAACTTAAGCTACTTAACAAAAAATCATTAAAGCATCATCATGTGAAACATTTGCTTCTGTAGAGATTTTCTATTTTGCTTTTCTATGCTCTCGATAATTAGATTATCTTGTTTTTCTTCGATTCTTTCTGAAATCTCGCATCCACTTCTAGAAAGATGTTGGACATGAACATGTCCCTACATGGTGGATGCATATTGAGATTAGTACAATTAGGTTCACTTAGCTAAGATCTCTTGGAAACTATGCAAAAAATTCTTAAGTAGCACTTGGAATGATTTATCATCACTATTTGAATTATCAAGTATCTAATGGGATGTAAATAACTAAAATATTAGTGTTGGATTTTTAGCTCAAATGGTGGAGCATCGTGCTAAATTGGAAGTTACATGAACATGAGCATGAAGTTCACATTTCTATCACAAAAATAAAGGTTATTTGCCTGAATTCAATTTAAAAAAAAAAATTAAAAGCAGCAGCAATGGAACAACAACACAAACAAGAGAAAGTGCAGTAGGCAAATCAAAGCAGGAGGGGCACTTTGATCGATCATATGCAATAACATGACGAGAGAGAGAGAGAGAGAGAGAGAGAGAGAGAGAGAGAGAGAGAGAGAACAATATTTTCATTATGGGCACTTCAATCAATCATGGACAATCACACGACAATAGAGAGAGAAAGTAGGGAACAATTGAAATCATGAACTTAGTATCATGATGACATGATAAGGTGTTGAAATTTAATGCAACTCAAGATATTTAAGTTGCTAACTTATGAGT